TTCTCTTAATGACAACATCAAATAAACGAGATCTAATGATACCCAGACCCATTAGTTGTGTCAGTTGTATGTGAGATGTCCATAAATAGGAAATAACCATGCAGCAGCAGCAGCACACTTTCTGGGGTCTGTTCTTGAATTTTATCGTTATTTTCCTTTTAATAACTAATAGAGGTTATTTTAAATATAAATGTTCCTGATTTAGGTTGTAGGGTTGTGGTATCGGGTGGTTATGTTGCACTTCTGGAAATTGATTATCAGTGCGCAATGCTCTAAACGTAGACTTTTACTAACTAAATAGCAAGTCGGAAAAGGGGGTTATGTGTGTTATTTTACTTGATTTAATTATTTGTGGTTATCAGTTTTGGTTGTTTGTTTTTTTCGTTTGGTTGGGTGTGTGTGTTGTTTTTGCGGTTTTGTTTGTTTTGTATTTTGATGTTTGGTTTGGTTTGTTTTTTTTTGGTTGGGGTGTGCGTCGGTTTTTGTTGTTGTCTTTCTTCCATTTATTTTAATTACTTTGTCTAAGTGTTTGTTTTGTATTGTTTCATTTCTCTCAATAATTTATGTACAATTATGAGGTTGTGTTCCTTGTGCTATTATATCATTGATTTTCTTAATTAAATGATATTCATTTTGTTAAATCACTTTAAAAAATTAAATATATATGGTTGGGTGTTATTAGTAGGTGGTATGTGTTAGGGGTTGAGGTTATTTTATTGTTGTATTATTTAATTGATTTAGTTTGGGTTTTGGATTGGAGTGTATATAGCCAACTACTTTTATCCTTTCAGTCTTAATCCTATTTCATCTCCATTGTTTTCCTTTTTTGTTCTTCATCCTTCTGTTTAATTCGTTTTTATTGAATATATCCTCTACACATTTCTACCCACTAATCATACTCATCTTTTACATTTACAACACTTTTCTTCTCTCCTTTCACTTTAATAATCTCGATACCACATCATCTCCTTAATTATCTTTAACTTTATTTTACCAATCTCCTCTTACATTCAACCTAACTTCATCCCCATTAAACCACAACACACAAAAATTTCTCAACTTCTTCATATTCCCTCTTTTTTCCCCACATCCACATTCCACATTCCACATCACATACACCACCAATATTACTCTTTATTCTCTATTTTCCTTTATCTAGGTTTCACTTTAAATTTTTATAACTATCCTAATTTCCTTCTTTCATCTAATCATTTCATTTTTTTTAACTTCATCCATCCTCTACATCATCTCAATCTAACCTATTCCAACTATTTCTTTAATTAAATATCCTTTTCTTTTGCATTTCATTCAACAACAACAACAACAACAAAACAACTAATTCTCTTCTTATTTATTTTTCCAAACATTTCAACCTCTTTCCTTTCATTTATTTTATTATTATAATACTACATTCTATTCCTATTTAATCTCCAATTTTACCAAAATATAAATGATTCTTTTATTCATCATAATTATAATCTTTTCAATTATACCCTATAAAAAGTTCCTCTCTCAATTCATTTATTTTTTTCTTCCATCTTTCCGGCATTTCTTTTTTTAAAAATTACTTTGTTACTTTATAAAACTATTTAATTTTAATTTAATTATGCTTTTCAAAATAATAACTTTATTTTAATTACAAAAGTATCTACAAAAAACCAAATACTTTTTTTTCTGTTTTAACCTACCCATCATTCCCAAGACACTACTATAACAGGAGCGTTACTTTAAAAATGTAATCTGATACAGTTACTGTGAAACACCGAACCGCTAACCAAGCCGTGAATCCAAGTAATCACAATATTAAAGTAACATAACTTGATTATGTTTCTGTTACTTTTGGATTACCTTTAAAGAAGAAAAGTAAAGTCAGTAACAAGCATTGGTTCAATTCCTGAAACAAAAGAAAGGTTTTAGCTTTAGTTTAAGCGGTTTTTTAGTGTTAGCTCAGTGTATTTTTAAATAAAAACGAATGTATTTTGAAATTTGCCATCCTGCTAACAGATCCCCATTTTTCATCCCCAATGTAACTGTAATGGATTGCACTTCTGTTTTTTTGTATCAGTGATTAACGTAACTCAGGGGTAGGTTAAGGGCATGTAATCCATTTACTCCCGATAGAGTGAGGTTGAGAGACAGCAGCAAAGTGGTTCTGTAATATATAAACACAACAATAAGTCTAAATACTATAGAATACACAATATGCAAAATATCCTAATATAAAATATAATAAAGAGAAGAAATAGAAATATTGTAGAAAAATACTATACACAAGACAGTGTACAAAAGAAGATTAAAGTTTACATCAGTGATGTGAGACAGGTGATGGTGTAAAGAGAGATGGCTTGGTAGGAAAGGCTTCTTCTTATCTTGTCCTTGTGACGGTGAATCTTGAAGCGTCCCTGTTATAGAAAGTACTCCGCTGTCGTCTAGTTAGTGGGTGGAAGGTGGGCGGATTTATGCCATGATGGCTAACAGTCCCTGTTCAGCCTTCTCCAATCTCCACCACCAACAACAGTGTCTGGTTTGCAGCCAAATAATGGAGCCGGCCTTCTTAATCAGTTTTAATTTCTGTTGCTGTTTGCCAAACTCCAACCGCTGCTTCCCCAGAGGAGTACAGAGGAGTACAGAAGAGCTCTGCTGTACTCTGCTGTACTCTTCTGTACTCCTCTGTACTCCTCTGGGGAAGCAGCGTTGGAGTTGGCAACAGCAACAGAATTAAACTGATTAAGAAGGCCGGCTCCATTATTGGCTGCAAACCAGACACTGTTGTTGTGGTGGAGAGGAGACACTGAACAGACTGTTAGCCATCATGGATAATCCCGCCCACCCTCTCCACCACTACTAGACGACAGCGGAGTACTTTCTATAACAGACTGCTTCAGATTCACCGTCACAAGGACAGATAGAAGAAGCCTTTCCTACCCGAAGCCATCTCTCTTTACACCTCACCTGTCTCTACATCACTGATGTAAACTTTAATCTTCTTTGTACACTGTCTTGTGTATAGTATTTTATTCTACATATTTCATATTTCTCTCTTTATTATATTTTATATTAGGATATTTTGCATATTGTGTATTCTATAGATATTTAGACTTATTTGTTGTGGTTATATATTACAGACCACTTGCTGCTGTCTCTCAACCTCACTCTCTCGGGAGTAATGGATTACATGCCCTAACCCTAACTGAGTTACGTAATCATGATACAAAAAAACAGAAGTGCAATCCATTACAGTTACATTGAGTGAAAATGGGGATTGTTAGCAGGATGGCAATTTCAAAATACATTCGTTTTTATTTAAAAATACACTGAGCTAAAACTAAAGCGCTAAACTAAGCTAAAACCTTTCTTTTGTTTCAGAATGAACCAATGCTTGTTACTGACTTTACTTTTCTCTTAAAGGTAATCCAAAAGTAACAGAACATAATCAAGTTATGTTACTTTAATATTGTGATACTTGGATTCACCGGCTTGGTTAGCGGCTTCATGTTTCACCAGTAACTGTATCAGATTACATTTTTAAAGTAACGCTCCTGTCTCGGTCGTGTCTTGAATGCTGGGTAGGTAACACCGAAAACAAGTATTTGTTTTTTGGTAGATACTTTTGTACTTCAACTCAAGTTATTATTTTGACCAGCTCACTTAACTTACACTTAACTCGTTTTTATAAAGTAACAGTACTTTTACCACCCGCCACTGCGGACAGAGTGGAAGCCCAAAATAATGACTTGAGAGAGAAACTTTTCTCGGTATCTTGAAAAGCTTCTCATTATGATGACTCACAGAATCCTTTATATTTTGGTCACATTGGGCTTCCATAGGATAGACTGTAGTCTTCTACTCCTAAAATCCACTGACAGGCAGCGGTGTCAATAGTTTGACAGCATAATAAGAAGCGAATTCGTTGTTGTTGTTGTTGTTGTTGTTGTTGTTGATGAACACTGCCACAGACCCGGATATTTACTTAACGACAGTAGTGGACTCGGTAGCTGAGCTGCTGTAGCGGCTGCCTGACGTTAAACCCACTGACTGCTAGCTGCAGCCCGACATTAGCTCGTTATACACCGTTACCGTGTATCCCCTCGCTAACGGACCATAGAGACATAAAGAGTCCTCTGTGTGTGTCTATGCTGTGGACTGTGGACTGTGGACTGTGGACACACACAGAGGACTCTGGCCGCAGTGCGCACTTGTGTGTTGCTGTTTAATGGCTGAAGTTAGTTGACTGTCAGAGGAGCTGGTAAACTACAGTCCAGCTAGTTCCGGCGAGCTGTTGGTCTGCGATATTCACACAGTGAACGGAGCGAGAGCGCAGTGTGTACCTGTCCCCGCTGAGTGCTGATAGTGGTCGCCATGTTGTCGAGGCTCTTTAATCACAGACGTTCACAGCAGATGAAGAAACACCCGGACACCATGGAGCTGCCCTCGGATTACTGCTGACCCGGAAGTAGTTGGGTATATATATATATATATATATTTATTTTTTTAAAGTGATTCCAAAAACTGAATCTTTATTACGAATAATGTAATTCATGAGGAATATATTGTAATAATTATGAGAGCAATGCACACAATTCAAAAACAAATTGCGTATAAATAAATGAAGAAGAATTAAATACAAGTAAAATAACACACATAACTTTTCAGCTTGTATTTAGTTAGTAAAGGTTACGTTTTAGAGCTTGGGCACTGTAAATATTTCCAGAAGTGCAACGTAACGTTATATAATGAACATTTATTTAAAATAACGTTAGTTATTTAAAAGAAAAATGAACGTAAATATCTAGAACAGAACCCCAGAAAGTGTGCTGCTGCTGCTGCATGGTTATTTCTATTTTGGGACTCTCACAGTACAATGACACACTAATGGGTCTGGGTATCATAGGATAATCCGTTTTTAATTTGTCATTTAAGAAGAATTTTTGTTTTGTTGTTTGTTTTACAACAATTCAAATCCGATGATACTAAAGGGTCTCTTTAATTAAAAAATTTAAAAAAGGCAT